TATAAACAGCAAAATATCAAGAGAAAGACTGAATTGTCTTTTGTTATTTTTTTTTCTGGGTCTATAGGAAACAGGCGATCGTCTTCTGATTGGGAATCTCACATACACGCAGCCCCGTCATTAAATGCGTTATCGCTCGCGAGGCGACGCGTCCGACTGCGAAACCTGTGACTCCGGCACGGTATACGGAGGGTTAAACTGCTTTCCTTAGGAGATTTTGGGAGATTGCGTTTCTCATATGTTCTCTATGGCAGATATTGGAATTTTCGGAAAATTTAAAGGTACACATACGGTGACTCTTACTAATATTCGGACACTCTTTAGAACAGTATAACTTTTTAAAAATTGGACTTAACGACTTGAGTTAGAAGGATTAGTATACCAGATGACGTGTCTAAAATTTTTTGAAAATATTGCAATTTCTGGGAATCACGAAGAAAACTGTAAAGGTCACTGTTTGCAACTTCTTTACCCGAGTTTGTAACGAAAATTTAAAACACACGTTTTGTAGATTTATCTCAATTATACACATGCTGAAAATTTCATCGAAATCGGTAAATGGAGAAACAAGCGACAGGCATCGAAAGATGTAGGAATCTTCAGATTTATCACAATTATAGGCCGAACGTTGTGAAACAGTGCGATTTTCACAATCTTTAACGATTTGTAGCTCATAGTAACATTAACCCTCTATGGGCCCGTGTAACTTTCAAGTCACATACTAATATATCGATATTTTATTAAATAATTGAACTTTCTTCCACAAAATGGCATAAACGTCTTGTTGTACAATGTCTCCTTATTAACCAGTAACTTTCTTGATAACCGTTGTTACTTCAAAGTTACAATATGTATTCGTTATGATAAAATTGTCGAAACTGCTGAATTCACTGTTATTCTGTATTAATAGGTCGATATTTGCTAATTTTACGTTACATAAATTCTTTTACAGTCAAGAAAAATATTCGGCCCATAGAGGGTTAACCGATTTCGTCAAAATTTTCAACATGCGTATAATTGGCATAAATCTACAAAACGTATTCTTTAAATTTTCATTACGGGCTCAGATAAAAAAGTTGTCGAATGTGACCTTTACAACTTTCTTCGCAATTTCCACAAATTGCAATTTTTTCTAGTCATCTAGTATACTAATCCTTCTAACTTCTCAAACAAACTCAAGTCGTTAAGTCCAATATTTAAAAAGTTATACTGTTCTAAAGGGTGTCCGAATGTTAGTAAGAGTCACCGTACGTGTCGGTGTCCCTGAAGAGGTTAAGATTAACTTCGTACCAACTTGAACACGTTACAACAGCTGTAAACAAATTGGACTGTATTTTGAAGCAACGGCAGTAGTGTAAAACCTGATCAAACGCACCGTTCGCATTGGTCCAAGTTTCGTCAAGATCCGACAACGTAAAGTATTTTCTCAACGTGTTTTCACGCACATCGGTAACATCGAACTGCATTACCACCCTTTCCGGCAGTATCGTTCCTCGTTATCACGGAATTTCACGTTCCAAAAACTGTGCGCACATTCGACGTTCAGTTTTCACCGCGAGTCCCGCGGAGAAGTCCCGGGCGGAAGTATCGCGGAGTAACGAGAGGGCGGATGAAAAGGAGCGCGGCTTTATTTTCTTTCCGCGAGCGAGCGGAAAGGCAGTGACGTTTTTCGGAATATTTCGCGCCGGGACAACGTACTTCGACGTTCCTCGGGAAACATCGCGAATATGGGTCGCGAGACAAAAATCCTGCCATCCCTCCTTTTTTTTCTTCTTCCCTTTTTAATTAACACGTCCTTCGCTTTCTCCCCAACAACCACCCTTCCTCCTTCGCCTTTCTCTGCAAGTCTAAAAAAAGAAGGGTGGAAAAAGTCAAGGATTCGATTTTGCGTCACTGTCGTCGATACAATAGTATTCACTCCGTTGGAATTTGAAGAAATTAACGACTGGAATATTCATGATTGGTTCCGCTATTATTTACCCCCCCCTCCGCCGTCACAGGACGGCGTTTCGAGGACTGCCCCGAAGAATCCCGTTCGTCGCATGCATATTTACGCGCGCGCGCGCACGCTGCATCCGATTTTCCCTCTCTGCGACTCTGGAAACGACGTTCTCGTATTTGTGGAACGAGCGTAGACAAATATTTGCATATGTATGATCGGATGTCCGGGGACCCAGGGTGGGATGTCGCAGAAGGGTGACTGCAGAGGAAAGAATCTCGATACAAATGGCGATACAGAATTCATGAAAAAAGAAAGGAATATTGATTCAAGGGAAAAGTGGAGAGAGAGCGAGGAGTAAAAACTACAAAAGCTCCTTTGGTGCAGGGAAGATTTTCTGTAAAGTGGGTCAGGAAAATTCATCAGCGAGGAAGGGGTAGTGAAAAGAGCTTTAAAGTCTGTCCTCAAACGCCATCTTGGACCTTTGTCAAGGATTTTATTTTCTGCTCTCGGGAAAAGTTAAAGTACCTTCTCTTTAGAGAAAAAAAAAGAAAAGGAAATCAAAGTCTGACACGATCCTCCGATCCTCTCCCATTCGAGGCAACCCTTTCCAATTTCAATTTTCCAGCCCGCTGCACCACCCTCGACTCCCCACAGCCACCTCCTGCCACCACCAGCCTTGCACACGTCTCTGCTTAATTAAATGGATGCTCGCTGGAGGTTTTACACTGTCTCTGATCCTTGACAAAGTCACTTTGACGCTGGGTATCGGCGACAGGAAAGTAATTAGCGGCCGCCCCATAGATCGACGATGGGCTGGGGTGTTTTTCGAGGAGGAGAGGGTGAAGGAAAGGATGGGTGACATTAACCGTGTACACAAGGATATTGATTACCAAGTCGAACGGCCTCGTTTTTGGACGTGGTCCACCACCCCTTGTTGCGGTCGCGAGACCACTGTTTGCTTTCCAGGGTAGGGAAACTTCCGGTCAACCCACGAGACATTCGACCCTCGACCCTGAACATCCCCTGTACTCGTGTTCGATCGATCTCAATGAAATTTCCCTTTTTTTCGTCGGTTTCTTCCACCCGAATGGCAGTAGAAGTGGACAAGATTTCTCGTCTGGTTGCCACACGGGGGGGTTCTTCGAGCGTCGATAGATTCAATTGTTTTTCGGTGATCGTGGAAGGTCAAAGGAGTAATACAGGGAAGAGAATTCTCCGATGAACGCGAGTAGAAGAGTGAATAAAAAAGAAATTAGAGGAGTATCGATGACATTTTATCGAAGCTTGTTATGGTGTCCTCAGCCCCTGAAAAAGGTCGAAAAGCTAGGCTCTCCATCTGTCATCGACCCACGCGTAATTTCTTGACAGAGATTAGGGCTGCGTGACCACTCGATATTACACGCCTGACGTTTCCATACCACAAGGGTGAGAAACTTCATTCAGAAATGCTGGACTATTTCATCGAATAATTTTCTTTTTTTTTTGGCAATCCTGAAACGTTGTTTTAACGACGTTTTTTTGTTTTTCTTTTGGAAATGCACGCAACCCCCGAAGGAAGGGGCGATTATTCAAGCACGCGTACATAATTGAAATATCGAACAAGCCGCAATGGATGAGCGATATTTACGATGCCCGATGGACTGGGCAACGAGCGGTTATTAGCGTTTCTAAATTTCCCTAGGGGGTGGTTCCACCCGTGACAAAGCACGCCGCGTAAAATCTGTGCAAACGTTTTGCACGCCGGATCGTGATAAAAATTGAAACTCTCGAAGAGTCTTTTCGTACTAAAAAAAAAAGCGTGTTGAATTATTGGTGAAACCGTGTCGAGAAGTATCCTGACGAAAATCTAGTCGTGTAGTAGGGCGATGTTTCCCTCGATGGGGATAAGAGACTCCCCAAAGTGCCTTTCTAAATTCCAAAAACTGTTCAATTTTTCCGACATAGAGAGAGAGAAAGAGAGAGGAAGAGGGAGAGAGAAAGGTTACCGGTAGCGTGAAATTTCGTCGAAAACGTCGTTTTCATGAGACGGAAAATGGAGAGGTGGTGAGGGGGCACTTTGAAACACCATTTGATCGTGGGTAACTGCGCGTGTACCAGTGCTACACCGCCCCATAGTGCTGCACAGAAGTTTTCCTGACGTTCACAGGCCGCCATTCTCCCCGTGATATTAACGCGGAGAAAAGGGGCGCGGGAGGGGTTGACTTTCATCCGAACTTCTACGCGAGATTGCCTCGTATTTACTCGAGGAACCTTGTCAATCTTCTTCGCCCTCTTACAGTACCATATCCCCTAAATTCGACAGGTTAGCAAAGATTTAGGCGAAAATATTTAGCCAACCGTTCTTCCCTAATCGTGAACTACACGTAACAATTAAATTCGCTGTATCGTGTTTTATCGAGCTGAAAATTACAGAGGAGAACTATTTAGAGGACCATTTTTCGTCCAACAGATGTATATTGTATATCATGTCTCCTTAATAAAATTTCAAAGATGCAGAATTCAGGCGCCTGTAGACAGACAACCAGTCAAGTACAGCTTTTTGTTACGAGCAAGCTCAGCGAGATAGGACGCGTGTTTATATGGCAAAAAGTGTTATTCCCAGCGTAGTAAAATGATAAAAGAATGTGAAAATTTTACGGCGTAATCACGCGACCGGAATATTTAAACCCAGCGTCTGACTCCTGGCTTCCATTACCACTGGGCTCCCGGAACGCTGTACAAAGTGCGGGTCTGTCTGACTTGCGCGGTCCATTACTACTGCAGCCCGCGTCTTATACTACTCATCCGCCGTTGGATGTGTCTCGGGGCGACGTGAGCGGAATATCGACTGTCAGGGCTCACTTCTAAGGCCGATGTGACAAACCGTGCCACTTAAGGCGGCCGTACAACGAGAGTTTCAGGAGCGACGTGCGAGTCTCGACGGCTTCCGGCGGCCGTCGGCTAAATTTCACGCGCCTCCATCATCGTCCGCCGTTTAGAAATATTTCTGAAGGTCCTTGGTGTAGCTTCAGAAATATTTTTCTCGTCGATGTGCATAGAGAATTTAACGAGAACTCACCTGGAACGTGATGGCGTCCCTCTCGATCTGAGACATGTTCTTGAAAATATTGTTGATAATGTTGACGAATCTGTCCCGCTTCACGAATGTCGGTTTGTCCTTCTCGAACACGTCGTTGAAATCGTACAGGATGAAGTAGGTACCTGAAACATAAAAGAAAATCCATCGAGGTTCGATCGAAATTTCGTTGTCGCTAAACTTTTTCCAAGTAAAAATTTTTATTTCGAATTAAGTAATTGATAAAAGAAAAGAAAAATTAAGCAGACATGATTGCGTGTGTGCAAAGGGTGAAGCGAAATTGGCAGCGAGTTATGGGACCGATAAATCATCTCTGTCATGTAGAAAAAGGGAGATTTCTCCCCGGTCATGTCAATTCGCGTTTCAAAGTCCCTCTTTTCAAGGAAACCGACTACTCCCTTATGCAAAAACCATGCCAGAGGTGAGGTTGCCTTTCATATCGTCGCGAGACCTTCAAAGGTTGCCACCCCTGAGTATACAAACGGGCGACATAAAAGATTTCCTGTCGAACCGATACCAATGGCCTGTCAGGGTATTTGCTTTGTAAATGTATCCCCGAAAATCCATGTTCCACCGGCTTACAGATGACGTGTACGTCCCTGAGATGAAATATGGATGCCTTTCGCTCGATAAATTGCGATAGTTCTTGCCTGGAAGCCTGATTACAGGGGTTCGTTTGACGAACCATTGACTCGTACTACTTACACGTTACATTTCTCCAGCTTTCCAATCGAATGAAATTATTTCCCGAAACTTTTCCGCTCGCGTTATGCTTTAAAATATTCCCATTGGAACACGTTCAAGACGAATTTCTTTACACCTCTCAGTAGTCCAAGTCAACGGATTCTCCATCGACAGGCAAATGTCGGCCGCCAAACGATAATAGACGGAATTTATCAGGCTTTCGGAGTCCGCAGACGAGCAGGGAACGGTTGATAACACGGAACCACCATCTCGGGGGTGTACTTCCAGATTTGCAGGTTGGAGGGGGTGGCTCGATGCAAAAGAACTCAATTACCAGCGGTTCCCCGAGGAGGTTCGAGATTCCTCGAGGCTTGAAAGGGTCTTTCCAGCCACAGAAGAGGATCCGAGGCTTGTCAAGGGGTGAATTGAAGAAGACAGAAGCCAAGAAGGCAGCGGGGACAGGGGGAGAGATGGTAGATATTGCGAAGAGAAAGTGAAGAAGACCGAGAATGTGGGTGGGACAAAGTGGAGGGGTTCGGAGTGAGTGCAGAGACAGTGGAAAGTGAGAAAGTAGCTTGAGGAAGGGACGTGGGGATTGAGAAGTTGCCGTGTGGGAAGGGGGGCTGGGAAAAAAGCTGGGGTCGCTACGACTAGCTGAGTCTCTATCGATTCGACGTTAGCAACTTGTTGGCTGCCCCTGGCCCCGATGAATTTCACGGGTAGACTCTAGACGACCGGAAGTCGCCCCTCTATTTTTCCACGTGCCGTGAAGAGGTTAAGAGGTTAAGTTAAGAGAGGGTCTCGTGGGCAAACACGACTTCTTTATTCCTACATCACCCTCCAAGGTAACGAAATGGGGCTACGGGGGTTGTTTCACTCCTCGAGTTAAAGAGAACGCAAAATGGCGCTTCTTGATACCGGGATAGATGGGCGCTTTTTCATGGATGCATCGATTTTTCAGTGTTTAAGGGTGCCGGTGATGCGGGGAAGACCACGAAACGGCCAGAGACTCGGGTCTGCGGCTCGCTGGCGGTCGAAGCACGCGTTAACGAGACACTCCCGGTCGGGGATGTTGCTGGCTAACCTCGAAACACGAGTCTACGCAAGCACGGAGGCAAAAATTTTCAAAAATTCATCGTTACAGATGGATCTAATTTGAAAATTTGAACTTTCAGCACGAGTGAAAAGATTGAAAACAGTTGGAAGCAACGAATAGCACTATAGTAACCTATCTTAAAATTCTAATTTTCTGTAGCGGAAAAGAGAGAGAAAGAGAAGTTAAGAAGTAAAGCAACTCGAGTCTCCAGGCGGGAAGGAAAATTAGGAATAATAAATAGAACAAAGAAGCGAGTGGAAGAAAGCGTTCTCCGCATCGTCGAGATTCCATTTTGTCAGAGATCCGCGATGCCGTGAATTTTCCATACCGCGACGGTAGGAAATGCATAAACGAAGAGGTTGTACGTCACGACACGCCCGCGTAAATCTTCCCGTCGTTAATATCAGCTCCGTAGCGAGAAGAAATAACGCCGGCGTAAGTAGCCAGGCGAAGGGAAGATGGTACGGGGCTACCTCTAGGTAAGAAAGCTCGGAATAAACCATTCACGTGACGCGCGACGTATGCATATTGCATCGTTGAGAGCTAGATACGCTCATGCAGCCGGACGTGACATGATAATCACCATGGATACTCGGAATCTCCGTTTTTCACCGGTATTTCACAGTTTAGCAGAGGAAAATTTGCAAAAATTCGCAGAGTTGCCTGAACAGAGACACACGCAAAAAAAAAAAAAATTCGCAAACCGTTGAATTAAGGGCACGAATGCAGGTTTGAAAAGTGACGGGGTCTTCGTGGTGGTAAATGGGTAAATTAGGAGGCAGCCGGAAGGGTTGGAGCGTCTTAACCGGTTGATAAAAAATTGCTGTTCCGAGTTTCTTAGCAGGAGGAGCACCTTAAGGTACCTAGCCTACGGGGGTGGTTTTAATTTATTCCTTCCGGTGATTCTTCCGTGGCAGGGGCGTCCGTAAATTGAGTTCCATTATGTTGCGGTACTCTTTTGTCGAGAAAATCGTATTTTTTTTTTTTTTCACCGGGATACCGGTTAAGTTCTTTATCTCGATTCCGTTTGCGGCTGTCATCCTCGGTCAGACTCCTCTCAAGATTCTCCGAGGAAATTATTATCCAGTTGTCGAGGAAACCACCATGGAATAATACGCATAGTACTAGCTCTTTAGAAAAGAAAAGAAAGAAAATTCCATCTTCCAGAGAGCAGAATATTTCGAGGGTTGACAGCATCGTGAAAAGGGATCTGCAGAGTGCTGTTCGCGTAAAAGCAAAAAATTCCAGTTTAGGAAAAGGGAATTGTTGGGTTTTTATTCATAGGGAAAAAAGAAAAATTCCATTTTCGAGAGAAGACAGTGTGTGAAATTCTGTTCGGTGAACGGTTCCCGATTGAAACGGGGCCATGGAAAGTGTGGCCAGTTCTAGGCTTTATGAAGGGGCAATCGACAGTGTTTTTCGGCGGTGTAATAAACGACGCGGAAAAATGGCGGTCGCGTGAACGCGCTTTTGCGTCATTGGACGCAAATTCAATCTAGCCATGTTTTCCGGTTCGCGACTGCCCGACGCGCTCTCCTCCAATATCGTCTTGTTTTCCGCGTCGATGGAGGCGGAGATGGCGAAGATTGTGTAACGCTTAGATTGAAAGGCAGGAGTGAGCGAGGCGGGCACAATGTCGGATAGAGAGAGAGGCAGGTCGGAAAATGGAGTGAGCTACTTCGTGGAAATTGATATTGTTGAAAGACTTTTTTTTACCAAACTTTGATTTTACCCCAGCAGCCTGATTGAATCTAAGTATCTGATACCTCGACTATGTGACAGCTTCTTTACTTAAGGGGGTATTCTAGTCTAGACTTTTCAAAACAGTCGATTTCTTTTTTTTACTTTTTCTGAAAGTAGACATTCGCAGAAGTATAACTGCCGAAGGATTTTTCCGAATTCGTAAAATTGACGAAGTTAGATGGTTAAATGTAGCCCGTAGTCATAAGTATACCATTCTCGTGTAACTGGTATGAGAAACTTTAAACGCGTTTTTCTCGAAACCACGTTTTCCTAAATGGCCGACATGATATCTCAAGTTCTAGTTGTCCGATTGACTCCAAATTTTACTTCAGCGGATGTGCCGTTATCGTCTGAACCAGAATTATGCCAAAATATATATTTTTCTGATTTTTAGAGCCTCTGAAAGACGAAAAAAAGTCGACAAAATCGATACACAAAATTCAAAGTGCCGCCATTTTGTAAATTTTCACTGTTTCTTTTTCATTCTGGTTCACGCCATAATCACATTCGTTCTAATCAAGAATCCTTTTGGTTTTTTTTTTTGGTGTCAGCCAGTAGGACACTTTTTATTAAAGGGACCGCACTGAATGATATATAAGTCAGACAGTTTTGATTATTTTCACTTGAAAAAAGTTGTGAACTTTCTTAAAACACGAATAAATAAGTAAGCAAAATGCCGATACTGAGAAACTTATACTTTCCTCACAAAAAAATCCCTAAGGAGGACTACGAAATGACACTCTAGACTAGAATACCCCCTTAATGCTCTAGCTCTCTGGTGGTACCGGAAGGACTTAACGTCTGTCCTGGCTAACTAATAATCCTGACTGTGTAACAGTGTGGTAACTATTCAATTCTCAAATTTCATACTGCCATACATAGTCGATATCTTAGAGCATTACAATACTCAGTACCTTAAATCATTCGACGCTTCTATCTCATGCCTTAATAAACTAATATCCTAAGTATTCGATGCCCTAACATTCCGGTAACCTATCTAACGAATATTTTTATCGCACGTTACCCTAACGGTTTAATGCTTCAAACTATTCAGTGCCCTAAGCTCACAGTACTCTACTATCCGCCTAATGCATTGATCACATGTAGTACCCTAACAACTTAATACCCTAAATACCTAGTACCCCAACTATTTATTAGTCTGATCTCACAGTGCTCTATCTCCCTAAAGCCTCAATTACTCAGCATCCTAACCGTTCAATACTCGTCTCTCTCTCTTAGATCCTCAGTCTTCCCGTATATCATCCTGTTTAATATCCAAAATTTTTTGTAACTAGCGTTAGGTTTTCTGCATAGATACACGTGCTTCAAGCACTATTGAAGCTAGATTCGCTAGCGATCTAAATGGGACGTTGAACGACGGTATCGATAACTATGGGTACGATATTCCAGCGGACCATTAAAGTTCCCCCAGGTGTGATTACCGTCTTAAGTCTGTAAACTTCGTGAGCATAATTTTCCAAGACTTCACACTCGACCTAAATACCTCCCACGGAGAGGTGTCCCCGGGCAGCAGAATTTTTCTCAAATTCAAATGAAACACGCGGTCCGTTCACGTGGAATCTACGGAGAATATTTGGTTTT